TTAAAAAAAAAAACCAAGAAGCTAATCGCAGACTTGGATATATTAACAGGAGCATTATATGCAAGTCATGGGAAGCGATTCTTCCACTCCGTTCAGCACTAGTCAAGCCTCACCCATGAGAATTTCCTAACCATGAGAGTAGTTGAACACTAGAGCTGAGCTAGAAACTCCATCATTGAACTTTATAACTTCAGGCTGGACAAATATTTGCCTGGAATGGTTTAGATAGGGATGGTCTTGCTCTGAGCAGAATTGGACTGGATGACCTCTTGAAACCCCTTCCAGACTTATTTTCCCGTGATTCTGTCCATCAAGACACTTGCCACACACCACTAACTATGCAGCAAAAATTAAAAAAAAGTCCTACTTCTTAGCATACTGGGTGGCTAGAAACTGTTCCGACTCGCTTGCAGTATCGTTTGTGACTGCTAATTCAGGAATTGTTAGCCCAATGCCTTGACAGATTGTTCCTCTGGATTCTGCTTCTGTATCACTGTCAGTCATGGTGGGTGCATCTACACATGCAGTGCTGTTAAGCTGTAGGAAACTAATGAAGTCCGCAGCAGGGTAGTACTTGTAAATACAAGTACTATCCTACTGCAAAGTTATTTACTGTGCAGCAGTACATGTGTAGATGCTGACCTGGGAGTAAATTGCTCCCAGTCAACCCAGCCCAGCAGGGGGCCACACTTCTGGCTATTGCCCTAATCACAGAGCTTGGCAGCTGCATGAGCCTTGTGGCCCAGCCAGCTCCTCCACCTGCCCAACACACAGCCACCCGCTGCCCATCCTGACCTCGCCTCCTAGCCCCTATTCCCTCTGTTAGCCCAGGGCTGGACCCTGAGCCACACTGTCACTGCCAGCCAGAGTCTGGCACTGACCCCCTTGTGCCCTGGCACTCAGGCAGCTGGAGCCCAGAGCTCCCCCTGGATGCTGCAGAGAGGCAGAACAGCCCTGGTCTAAGCTGGTTTCCCTGCTCAGTTTGCTTCTGTCCCAGGTGTCTGTGTAGACGCTGTGCCCAGGAGCAGTTTAGTGTGGAGTGTTTATTCAGTCGCATTAATTCCACATGTAGATGTGCCTGCTGTGCGACTGGCAAATCACTTCACTTCTCAGTCTCATTTTCCTTGTAGATAAATGAGGACATCAGCTTTAAGTGTTTTTGAGGTCCTCAGAACAGCACTTCCTGTGCAGGGTGTTGAACAGATTGATGTTTTATGTTGGGAGTTTGGGAAAATAAGGTGTGTAAAAAAAGCAGACCGTTGCCTTGTAGAGGTGAGTAAAGGAGGTATACTAGTGAATGCGTGAAAGAATCAGCTTCTGAGTACTGCAGATTTGTCTTGGAGGAGAGATTCTTTGAGATTCTTCCTTATATAGGCCTTGGATATCATGGATTATTGGATGAAGGATCAAATTGTCATTTCAGTATTTTGTTCTTGATGCCAAGCCTTTGACTCATTACTTCCCTTTTCACCTCCTCAGATGATGTTGCTACTACTTCCTTGTTTTTTTTTTTGAGCAGAAATTGTTTAAAGCAGAATATGATGCATGTGTCAGGGATATGGATCGAAAGTAGCCTTTTACCATCAATAATGCCTCCCCAAGTTTAAACACATTGGGTGAAGATTGACCACTGAACAACTTGGAGTATAATAATTATTTCGTCTAGTTTAAAGGTACATAGGGAAGAGAGAAGATTGGCAATTTCCTGTGTAATAAAAGGTGTTAACTAGATCAAAGATGTTGCTGAGAACTCTTCAGAATGTGGTATATTTTTTCTATCTATCTAAAATACTTGATTTCTGTTTCTTCACTTCAGCACCTCAGCCATGTCTCTTCTGTATGAATGTGTGAACACAGTAATAGCAGGTGAGAACTGAAATTAACCCAGAAAAGTGCTTCATTAACTTCAGTAGCAATTAACACCACTTATAACATCCTTTTACATAAAGTCTATTTATTATTTTTTATAACTAAATTAAATTGTGTTAAGCAGTCTTTTCAGTGTGCTTCACTACATAAATGAAACCCTTTACTACCAATAGGTAGTGGAGGCACTTTCTAAAAAGTATGTGTCTAATTTGCTCAATGTACAGAAAAGTTTAAAAGCTAGTATTAATAAAAACTAATATGCCAACTTTCAAGTAATGCTTAGGATTTTTAAAATAGTTCTGGTTTCATAAGCTGACTGCTGAAAACAGGAGTTTAGTTTCTAGCATGTCTTTTTAGGAATATAGTTCAATGGTCGTCTTCAGAAAATCTTAAAGTGAAAATGGTTTATATTTAATTGTGAAGTGAGTTGGGATCTGATTTTACTCTGAAATAACCTGTAAAGAAGGCAGTGTGGGTTTTCCCAGCTGTTTCCAACTCTGGCTAAGATCCTCTGATCTTTGTAAAGGGTTTTTCTAAATGTCAGCCCCTTTAACCTAGTAGGCTCTGCCATTTTAAGCATGGGATCCTGCAGAAGGGTGGTATAGAGACATGGCACCCTGAGGCAGTTGCTCAGAAGAAAGGAAACATCTTTTTCAGCCACTCTGCCAGCTCTGCTTTGCAAAGTTTTGGTGGTACAGAATGACCCTGGCAACCCGATGTGAATTCTGTTCTGGATACGAGTGTGCTATCCTGAGACAAAGAAGATAACTTCCCACTGTGATGAACCTTGCTGTAGTTAAAAGGGAAATTCAGACTCACAGAAACAATTCATCAAAGCCTGTTGAACGTTTGAATTACGATGAGTTACAGAACCCTAACACGTACTTATGATGTAAAACCATAGAGCTGCCTCTCAGGCTGCCAGACTAAGCCAACGGTCCTCTTTATGCATGAGCCAAATAGAATCCTGCAGACTTCTGCATAAATGTGGCTTAGCGGGGCTATTGGGAGGGGGAAAATAATAACAATTTGTAAGTTTGGAAGATGTGATATAGAAAACGTGTTGCCCAACAAGGGAGGTGGTTTCTGTCTGCCTTCTAATGACCTATCTGTTGCTATGGAGAGGTCTACACTGTGATAGTGCAGAGCACGGTGTCTCCACCTCCTCTGCCAGGGGGTTGCACACTGCCAAAGCTACACAAAGGCTTTGGCCTCTAAGACTCTTTCGAATTTGGTTGGGTCTCATATAATTACTTGGAGCAGGATTCTGTGTACATGTCATTCATTTAGGAAACTGTAGGCTTAAAATCCAGCTGTAGTCACTGATGACCAGGGATCCTGGTTTTCTCTGTTTAAAAAAACTGAATACGTATAAATTTTTGGCATTTTTTTTAAGACATGAAAAATCAGAGCTCCCCCTGCCCCCTTTGTTCATCAGGGCATGGGTTCAGCTGTAGCTGTCCCTTCTGTCCCCTCCCTCCCCCACTGTTTTGTGGTGCTGAGCAGCCAGTGATGTTGCCCCTTGTTCCCGACCCACAGCCCCTGCCTGCCCCCAGACTTGCTCCCTCCTGGCAGCAGCTCCCCTCTGCACCAGGTGGGTGTGTGGGGCAGTGGGTGGGTGGGCATAGATGATGCCATTGGTGATGCATTGGGGGTGGAAATGGGGAGGGGGGCCACATGCCTCCCTAGATTTCTACACCAACAACAGAGCATGGGGCATAGGCTGCAGCCTGGCACTGGACAGGAGTCACCCCCGTGGCCCGGCAGCTGAGACTTGTCATGGGAGACTCAGTGCTGCTGCCAGGAGCCCTGTGCCAGCCGTTCCACCATGGCCACCAAGATGAGGCACTTCCTACCTGCCTCCCCAGTGTGCGTGTGAGGGGGGGGCACCACAGCTCTACACCACCACTGCCCCCACTACTGACAGGTGGGCAGGGGGCACCTCACCTCGGTGGCTATGGTGGCACAGTTGGTGAGGGGCTCCTGGTGGCTGCAGGAGTATTGAGTCTCCCTGTCCTACTCTGTCTTCCTGTGCTGGTATGGCCAGGCTGCAGCCTTGTGCCTTGCTGTCAGCGCAGAAACACCCCCCCTGTATCCCTCCAACGCATTGCCAAGGGCGTGCCCAGATTGTCTCCAAGCCCTGGCCCTCCAACCCCTTTTCCCCTCCCATAGTCTTGTATCCAGCTGCAGGGCTGTTCCCACCTCCCTGCCTGGCTTTCTTGCCGTGTGTGTGTGTGCACTTGTGCACATGCTTATGGTGCCCCCTGCCTCCAATCACCCTCCTCCCACTCCCCACAGCTCTGGTTTCCTGCTTCAAAGGGAAAATCTGGGTTTGTTCTCCTTTAAAGGGGAAAATCCACGTTTTCCCATGGGAAATGGAAAACACGGATCCCTGCTGATTTTTATAGTCTTTTGGCTGCTAGATGGAAAGAGTTAAAAACTAAGGACCTTAGTAAGGGCAAAGCAGAATGAAAATATGCATTGTCCAAGTTTCCCCAACAGTCTGTCTGTACAGCTCCCCCTTGCTATGTCAGATGTTATTTTTGTCTTGGGGCCTTGCTTGATCTGAGACATGATAGCTGTTAACATTGTACCCAGCCTGTGATTTTTCTGTCAGCTAGAAAGCTCTAAAGTGAGACCATGAATCGTTTCTTCATATGACTCTTACGTTGGCTACTGTGTATTAAATTTTACTTAATTTATACTTTGCTTTTCTAAATAAATATAGCTAATTTTAATGCGGGTTTTTTTGTTTTTCAGTTTTGATCTCTCTGTCTTCTGGGATGCCCAATCACAGTGCCAGCATCCAGGTACAGCACTTCTTTCTTGAATGGATGTTTTTTGCTACATAATTCCTGCTGGTTTGAGGGAGAGAAGCACTCCAGATGTTTGAATGAGAAGCTTTCTGATGCTATAGTTCTCACTTACAGTGGCCCTTAATGTCTAGTGCATTCTTAGAAAGGTTCCTAAACTTCCCTTAGTTTCCCTTCTCTCCCTGTCTTCTGCTTTTTGTTTAACAGTTGTGTGGGGCAGGAGAGGACAGGGCACCTGAAAACCTGAGTCCATTTAGGACACTTTGCTCTTGCTTTTGATTTAGCTGTCACTGGAAGTACAATCACTAGAATGATGTTCCCTTCATCTTGCCTGTTAGTGATGTGCTCTCACCAGAAGTCGCAGACCCTGGTTACACTGCTTTCTCACATATTGAAGGCAATGCTAACATAAGGAGCGACCTCTATTTGAAAAATAGCTTTACAAAATATTCCAAAACTGATGTTAATTCCAGCCTGCATTCTTTTCTCCAGCTCTGTGTTCAGAAGTTGAGAATACTAATAGAAGATTCTGACCAGAACTGTAAGTATGTTGCTTGTTGCTTTAGAGGCTTTCATTAAGCATCCTGATGGGGCTAACTGGCAGAAGTATTAAAGCAACAAGGACTTCTGGTAAAATTATTCAGTATTACACAATGCCCAGTATTTTGCAAAGAAAAGCTGGTATTGTCTAGGTAGTAATTTTATGTTTTTGTATAGTGTCACATTTAAACATTTACTTACCACCAGCTGCCTTTTTTTAAAATGAACTAGCTGAATAATTGGTGCTATTTGTTATATGGTAAATCTAAAAGTAGAATGTTCTGCTTTTTCCCTTTCACAACATTTTCCACTGAGGAAGCACATGCAAGTAATGTTATTATAGAATAAAAAAAACATAATAGTGAAGTACAAGAACACCTGACTTGCTCATGGTTGGGAATATGGTAATACGAGTTACCATTTGCTAAAACTTAAATCCTTTTTCATGAAGAACCTCTTCTATCCATCTGTAGAGAGAATTTTAATATGTTCAAAGGAGAGTGGGGCCCCTATTCAATGTAGTAATTCCGTTTTGCAATGTTAGAACTATTTGCATACTAGGAGCTCAGCATTTAACATTTTGATTAAGCTCCCTAACATCACTGTGAAGTAGGTAAGTGTTGTTCTTGTTGTCTTTGAGTTACTGCCTACAGGTGTTTGTGTAGTGTTCGGAGCATTTATTTGGTGTAACTTGGAAATGGCAGTCCTGATAGTCATGGGCAGCATGACAACAATGTTTTGTCAACAGTCAGGAGGAGCGCTGACATCCCCTATCCTCTGTGCTGAGAAGTTGTTGATCTCACACAGATGCATTTGTCACACCTATTCTTCAGTACCTACCACACTAGTAAACCATCTCAAAAGGCAGTTCATAGATAACTATGAACTCGGGGATTTGGTCTGGTAGAACATCATTTTCTGGCAGGGATAGCAGTCAATAGATCTTCAGCGTTAGTCTAGAAAAAAAAATTCCAGTGCTTAAAAAAACCCTCAGTGGCCTTATTAATGTGTGTTCTCCCCCCTTAGTCCAGTAGTCCACTACTTTTCTAGGACACCTTAAAGACTAAAAATATCATTTTAACCAAATTAATGCTACCTTTATTTGAAGTTCTTCCTAGCAACTGACTGTCTTTGCCATCTATGAAGACAGCCTGTTTAGTAATCATAATACGAGCTTTAAGTGTAGGAGAGATTCAGGCCTACTCTTGTTGCTGGTCTACCTTACATGATGTTCTGTAGAGAGAGTGCAAGTCCTTTAGGTCTGACCCTCCAACCCCCTTCCTCCTCCCGTAGTCTTACCTGTGTCCAGCTGCAGGGCTGTTCCCCTCACCCTGCCTGGCTGCCTCGGGCACTTGCTCACGTGCACGTGGCACCCACTGCCTCTGATTGCCCTCCTCCTGCTCCCTGCAGCTCTGGTTTCCTACTTCAAAGGGGAAAATCTGGGTTTTTCTCCTCTAAAAGGGAAAATCCACAATTTTCCATGGGAAATGGAAAATGTGGATCTGGTTTCCATTTAAATAGGTTAATTCACCTGCCAGTTTTCTTTTCTGAGCTGCAACTCCACCGAAACTGTGCACACTCAGTGTAGTTGGAACTCATTTATCTTACTGTGAAAGAACAAGAGTGACATTGTTGAGTCACTTTGAATTAGCTAGATTAGATCCAATTATACAAGTTAGTGATTATTTTACTAGGGTTCTGGTATTGTCTCCTGGGGAGGCTGAAGAAATTGTCAGGATCTTGCATGGTAGCTACATGAATCAGTCCACGTTTTCATACAGCACTATTCTAAATTGATGTTTTAAGGTCTGTAGCTACTGTGGCATAATAGTTCTGCAGTCATTACTTAAATACAACTGTCAGCACAAACTGTGAGGTTCCTGCTTGCTGGTCTTTAAAATTTGAGTCCATGTAGACAGTTGCTCTGAGAGAGTGCTTAATTTGTTTCTTTGACTGTTCTGGAGCCTTATATCAACTGGATTTTAAATTGATGTAGGAAGTGAGAGGCAGGTTGGGTTTTTGATCCACTCAGGTTGGAGAGGCCAAAGGCATCCTGGGCAGAATTGGGGTCCTAAGTAGATGTTGCTAGCCAAAAGAATCTGAAATCTAGACTTTTTGTCTCTCATCAGAGAGCTTTTATTTCAGCTTATTAAATATTTGAGGTTTAAATAGAAAGTCTGTCTACCTTAAAATCTTACTCAAGACCATGCAGTATTTCTATATTTGGAAAGAAGTTGTATTTTGTCTTTTTTCACAGTGAAGTACCTGGGATTACTAGCAATGTCCAAAATCCTGAAAACCCACCCTAAGTCAGTTCAGTCTCACAAGGATCTCATTCTCCAGTGTTTGGATGACAAGGATGAGTCTATCAGACTCCGAGCTTTAGATCTCCTCTATGGCATGGTAAGTCTTATTGTATATCCTCTCTCATTCCCCCACTTCCAGGCCCTTTTATTTACACCCCTAAGAATATCTTAGAGTGAGATCCCCACTCTGATGCCTTTTATGCTGTGTAAAAGGGCTAGTGTGACGCACACAAGCTTTTAAAAGCTTCATTTGTGTGGAGAAAAATTCCTGGTGGAGACACTGTGAAAGACTGTCATAAGGCTGCTTTGTGAAGATGCCCTGCCATAGTTTGCCCCACTTACGCAGGATGGGGAAATAGCATACAACACTTTCAGAATTCCAGATAACCCTTCAGTCCTTAATGTAGTATAACATGACTTGGACAGGCCCGGAAGTCTGTGTATATTAAACCAGAATGATGAGGCGGCCCAGGATGGAAAGGGCACAAAGGCTGCTTAAAGCCCCTTTTTATCACACAACCACCTTCATTTTGGCCGTCTGTGCTCTACTTCTGTGGCACAGCACAGAATTGCACCTTGGGTGTTTGCCTGTGTGCGTTTTGTGT